GAAAAATCTGGTCTACAACCAACTAGTTACACACATACAGATGGTGGGTGGGATTTTAAAGATTTTTTTAGCCCAGTACCTTATCCAAGAAAGATGTAGGGCCAGAAGAAGGTCAGTGATTTGCCCAGAGACCCTTAGCCAAGGGCAGTGCTGGGCCTAAATCCCAGATTTCTTGACTCCCGATCTAGTAGTCTGTTAACTTGGAGAAGGAAAGCTTTTACCTAAACCAGCAGTTCTTAACCTGTGGGTCGCGACCCCTTTGGGGGTCGAACGACCCTTTCACAGGGGTCGCCTAAGACCATCGGAAAACACATAATTACATATTGTTTTTGTGATTAATCACTATGCTTTATGTTCAATTTGTAACAATGAAAATACATCCTGCATATCAGATATTTACATTACGATTCATAACAGTAGCAAAATTAGTTATGAAGTAGCAACGAAAATAATTTTATGGTTGGGGGTCACCACAACATGAACTGTATTAAAGGGTTGCGGCATTAGGAAGTTTGAGAACCACTGACCTAAACTTTGGGCAATGGGCAGCATGTAAGCTTTCAGTGAAGATAAAACCAGTCTCAATAGATCCACTGGCCTCTAACATGTGCCTCATTATTGGTTCCCAGTGAAGGTGCAGTGCTCAGGAGCAGAGAGCCCAGAAGGCGTGGGCCATCTCTGTTCTAGTCCAGCCCACTCGCAGGGGAGTCCAGATCACCCTGCAAGCTCAGCCGTCAGCAGGCTTCCTTGGCACTGGAACTTCTAGCCCAGGGTCCCTGCTGAATAGGTGTACAGTGTATTTGGAGGGTAGGATATAGGAACAATGTTTCTCAAATGCCCGTCTACAGGATGTCTTTGATGGGGGAGGGAATACTTGAGGATATGTTCTTGGGGAAGGAGAATTCTCAAAGCTACTTGTCACCCAGTGACTACTGCACAAGGCAGGAATTCTGGAGAGCAGGGACCCGCAGCTGGCTTTGTTCCTCCACACACTCCCTCACCTGCTGGTTCTCCTTCTTCCAGCCCTCCTGGCTGCTGAGGATGCCCAGGGCCTTCTTCATGGCCTCCTCTCCTTGGTTGATATAGGCCAGCTCCTGGTCGCTATAGAGAGTGTCTTCCAGCCGGGAACCTGGACACACAGCCAAGGAGAGACCAAGCTTCCTACCGATCCCCTAGCCTCCCACCAGCTTTCCTCCCTTTGATCTCTGGACCTGCTCTTTCCTCTGAAGAGCCAAGACCAAAGCCATAGGATTCAGCCTGCAGGTCAAGTTAGATTAGACACTGCAGGTGACAGGGAGAGGACCTGGGGGTGGCGGGGACAAGGGCCACATGCACAGTGTTTGCACCTGGGAGCCTTGTGACACTGGCAGAAGCCCGGAAGCCTCAGCACTTACCAAGCAGAGAACTCCGCCTCCGGACCTGATTAATCCATGCGCTGGGGGTCGGGCCCCCCAGGGCCCTCCGGTTCAGCTCTTGGCCAATGGCCAGCACAGCCTGGTGCCTCAACCCTGCAGGAAGGGAAGGAAACTGTTGCCTGGATATGCCCCTTCCACATCTTCATCTTGTTGCAGATGAGGAAACTGGCTGGGAGAGGGAAGTGATTGATCAGGAACATACAGATTCCTAGCAGGGACCTGAACTAGAGCCAGGTCAACTCCCAGTCCAGGGCTCCCTACACTGCACCAGGCTGCCTCCAGGGCCCAGAAATCTGCCTTCCATCTGGGCTGGCTTGCCTGATTCCTCCTGGAGGCAGGAGCCGCACCAGAGTTTCCCTCTTGAAAGAGAGAAGCTTTGTTCACACCAGAAAAATCCTGCCACAGCAGAATTGAAGACACCAGTCCCTGAGGGTCTGTGTAGCTGCCAGCAGCTGGGTCTTTGCTCTTCTGCTGTCTTACTCCCCTTTCTTTTCCTTCTCTCCACCCACCTCTTCTTCCCTGCCCGTGTCTTAGGCTTGCCAGCATGGCTCGTTGGAGTCCAGGCTTAGTCCTACCTCTACCACTGTGGCTAGTCCTTCCTGCTACCCTTGGGACCAATCCTAGAGGGAGGCAGAGTCAGGAAGAGGTCAAGGAAGATTGGAGCCCTGGAGGGGAAACCAGACATTACAGAACCCAGAAGGGACAAAGGCATCTTGATCTCCAGCCCAGTTCTTCCAGTGGGAAAAGTGAGGTCCACAAGGGACAAGATCGCCCAATAAGGCACAGCTGGGATCGGGACCTGAGTGGGTTGCCCCCGGTCCAGTGTTTCCCCCACTAAGCCAGGTGCCTGAGAGTCCTGGTCACCACCACGAGCGCCCTCTCCCCCAGGGAGCTCACCCTTCATGTTGCGCACGTGTCGGTAGGAGCTCCCAGCACACAGCTTAAACGTTGCCTGGAGCATTGTTTCCTGGCGGCTGGTCGCGGTAATGTAGCTGCTGCGGCTGCTGTTGCCTCTGCTCTCAAAGGCGGTTCCTTCCGTCCTTCCCGAGCCCGTCAAGGTCTGCCTCTGGGTCCCGCAGCTGTGGCTGTGACCCTGTGCTCCGTGTCTTAAATGCTCCCAGCTGAAGGCTGCGGTTAATCGCAGGAGATTAAAAAAAAGCCATCACTCACTGCTCAAAGGAAGGGGTCAAGGAGAGAGGGATTGCTTCACACTGCTGCTTTGGCCATTTGTGGGGAGGGGAGGGGGTGGAACAGGGCAAGAAAGGAGGAAAAGGCTGGAGCCAGACTCAGTGGGTGGAGGGGAGAGAGGAAGCAGTGAGGTAAAGGCGGTCTAGAAGAAAGCAGACACCATCGGA